CTTCCACTTTGTTGTTGCCAGTAGAGAAATGATATCATGCTAAAATTAAGAAAAGTGCTCTTTATATAATAGAAATAATTAAAAGAAAATCAAAATTCGTTTTTTTGTTGTCCCCTGTTGCGTCCTAATTAAATTATTAAATGATTGTTATTATTCTAGAATTTAAACGCCAGTCAATAATTGTTTCATTCCATACCTATAAAAAAATAGTGCAGATACAGGGTGTTTGAAGACAAATATAAGAAATTATAAATGTGTACATATTTTTTATTTCTTTTTTGGTACTTTTTTATTAAAAACTTTTCGATCTTCTATTAAATAAATAAAAATGATTTTTTTTAATATAGCACAAGTTTTTTGCTTGCAATAATAATACAAGCCGGAAATTAAACGAAAATCGATTTAATTATATTATTTTTATTATATCTAGATGATTATGTATACAACTTTATTTTCCAAAAAAATTAAGTGAAATAATACAAAAAATACAGCAATATGTATGAATGTATTAAATAAAATTAAAACCTTACAGTAATTCTTCACCGTATGAGGAATTTTATATTACAATACGACATAAAATAACACTTTTTTAAGTCATTGTACCAAATACTGGGTTGTGCCTACAGATGCTTGGACCATATTCTTCATAAGATGCTTTGGTGTGGCACACTTGGTAAAATTCAGGCTGAAACAGAATATAAACAAATTATTGAGGGGCATTTAAGCCGATTAAAAAACAAATTAAACTAACTGAACCAATAATTCTTACCGTAGATGCCAACATACTTCCTCCAAACCAAACAGCATATCGTTGCAAATTATGTGAAACCACTTTTACATCTATTGGCGTTGGCTGAAAAATAGTTTTAAATAAAATTAATTTAATTTTTGCTTTTTCTCGTATAAAATATTTACCTTAATTTGTCCACCTCCCAAACTCTCGCTCAACTTAAGCCTTAAATCAACAGAACGTTTAATGTCTCTCTGCAGTCTTCTTCCGAAATCTTTGAACATTGTAGAGCCTCCAGATAGCACAATGTTATTATACAAGGGTCTTCTAACATCAATAGGGCATTTCTGAATAACATCGTCCACGATTTGGGAAAGAGGAGTGGTGAAGTCAGGATTGGCAAACTCTGGATGAAAGAATATTTCTGGTCCCAGGAACCGTTCATAACCGACGTCAACCGTGAAGGGTTCTCTGGTAATTGAGTTAATACTTTCATACTGTTTTATCCATTTGCTAGGATTTTCGTCGTATTTAGAGAATTCTTTTGCTATGTCTGGACTAATGTAACAATATCTCTCTTTGATAGCTTTTGCAGTTTCGAGGGACTGTTCTGGGGGTATGCCTACCTCTCTTTCTCTCAAAAGTGACTGGATAAAATAGGTAATATTACGACCTGCTATTGGGATGTGCTTGATACAGCTACCTATTACATATCCATCTGCCTATTAAACAACAAAAATTTAATATTCCATAAAAAAAGTAGGTCTTGGTGACTTACTACTGGAATAACGTGAGTGACTCCGTCTCCACTGTCCACCACGATGCCGGTGAACGTCCTAGGTGAGCGTGAGATCCAACTGGCAGCAAGAGCAAGCACAGCTTGAACTGCAATGTAAAGTCCTGGCACATTAAATGATTCAAACATAATTTCCGCCGTGTACTCCCGGTTCTCTGGAGTATTAAGGGGTGGTTCAGTCAAAAGGAAATGATGGTCTTCAGGCTCAGCTCTCAAATATTTGAATATGCATTGTTCCAAGAAACGTTCCATTAAATCCCAATCTTCAACCAAGCCATGTCTAACAGGATACTAAAACATACTTATTGTAGCAGCTTATACCAATTTAATTTGTTTATATAATGTTAAAACAATTCAGTGTCGTCATAATACTTACTTTAATAGCATATCCTGTTGCATCAAAAGCTTCATCACCTATAAAAAAGTCTAAATCTTCTACACCCTTAGCTAATCTCCTAGACGACTGGTCGCCGACTTTAGCAGTCTCTTTAATAGCAATTGCTGACGGAATTATACATTGAGGCTCCTTATTTGAGGCAAAGCCGAGCTTAGTGTACCTAGTGTTGAGAGTGCATATTACTAGTGATAATACGAAAGGATATCGTACTTACCCCGTTCCAACATCAATAACACAAGCTGGAAGTCTTCCGATCATGCTTTTCTAATTAAATTTAATATAAAATAACAATTTTAACTAAAAAACATTTACCACACCTTGTGCCTTGACGTTTATCGGTTAATATGAATAGTGAATTATGGATAAGGATGCGTCATCCACCTTATTCAAATTCCATAAAAATATGAAAATTCCATGAAATACAAATAAATGTCAAAGTGAACATAACCTTTAAAACGATGGCGTTTTTCGTTAAGCTCTATATGCATAATATTAACAAATAAAAAGTGTTAAGCTTTAAAATTATGTAAAAAACTTATTGTTATTTATATGTATATTATCGCCTATAAACTTATTATTTTTGCAACGAATTTGTGATTTCGTAAACTGTTAACATGGAAGATTCCCTTGAGGACTACCTTCGTTTATCACAAAATGTTAGGAAAAACGAGCAAATTGACCAGCGAGAAAAAATGTAAGTGCATTGTAGTATTCAGTTTATTCCTAGTTTAATTAATTTTTTCATTGGAATGTAGAAAAAGTACTCTAATAACACTACAAAAAAAGAAGGAGTCTGAGACAAGAGCTATGAAAATTGTGGAATTTATGATTGAAGGAAGACTAAGAATAGAAACGTTTCTCCATTGTGTTAGTATTTATTATATAAATATGTAATTATCATACATTTTTTTTATTTCATATTGCAGTTGCTTTATATAAATCAAGATTATTATCAGGATATTGTGGAAGAAAGGGCATTAAATAAGGTCTGTGGATATGCTATATGTTCTGAAAAAATACCAGAAATGCCTAAAAAACAGTTTCACATTTCATTCAAAGCCAATAAAGTGTATGATATAACAGACAGAAAAGTAAGTTAATAACTACTTATACTATAGCACACTTTTAAATGTTACCGTTGTAGAATTATTGTAGCAATTTTTGTTATAAGGCAAGTTTACACATTAAAAAACAAATTGAAGTAAGTCCTTTGTGGCTACGATCTTATGATAATCTGCCTGACTTTAATCTTCTGCCTTTTGGAAATAGGTAAGCCTCACATTATGGACTGTATAATATTTAATTTAAATATATATGTAATTAATAGTGTTAACTTGTATCCAACTAATAACTTTATCACTTATAAACATTATTTTATTTAATTTATGTAGCGGATTACCAGGTGAAGAAATCGACCAGGGGATAGCAAAACCTGTTGAGGACATTCAATTTACATCCGTTACATCTTTTACAAAGGCTTCTTTAGATGAATTAACAGAATATGAAGTTGAAAAGTCAGTTGCTGTTCAGAGAAACACAAAATACCTGCCCGGTGCTTCAAGAATGTCCACTATTGCTGAATTAGAACCAGAAACATTATATCAAAAAATTAACAAAGATAAAGACGAAGAAACAGAAAGAAAAAGAAAAAACGAGGACGAAAAGCCTTTTGAAATAGAATTGAAAAAAAATAAAACCCCTTTGAGAAAAATAAGCAAATTTTCAGAAAAGCGTAAGATGGAGAAGTCAGCCAATCCATCTTTATGTGATACAAACAATATAAGTAAAAGCATAAATAACGTTATAGAACATATTACTAAATGCTTTCTCGATTGGGCTACAATTGAGACGTTTATTTTTCTTCATGGCGAAGACAAACTGAGGCAAGTGCTCCATGAAGAACATCTGAGCACATTATTGGACTCTCTTAGACTTGCCGAAGACAAAACAAAACAGCAACAAAAATATGTACAACTTTGCAGAAACTTAAACGTTAATGAATTAGCAGACAATAAATTCGATGAGATGGTAATTGGTAGAGAACTGAAACCACTACCTGATTATGAGAAATTAAAACAAGAAGGTGAAACTATGGACTTAAAGGTCAGATCTTTTTTGCAAGGGCTTCCATATGAAGTTGAGGAGGAAGATGGCAATGATAAGAGATTGTCTGTTAGTAAAAAAATGCAGAAAGAAGGGAAGATAGACACTAAAGAGGACGAAAATTTGGAAGAAGGACCACCTGCTGTGTTGCCTCTAGCAGACATTAATTCACAGAATGCTTTAAGGAGGAAAGTATTCCTTAATTCCCTCAACAAAGTGTAAGTCTTTCAATAAGACTTTTATGTTTAATTAAAACTTCTTATAAATTGTCCGTCTTATTTTTTTAGCTTACAGAACTTTGCGGAACTGCTTCATTTTTCGATTTATAATATACAATCAGATATAAGTGGTCTTGTAAAAACATTTAAATTGCGAGCTAATAATGTGGTGTTTAAACCTATTATCTGGAATATAATTGGAATAATTATTCTTCGAATGTAAGTATAAAATACCGATTCTTTCGTACTCTTTTAATGATGATTTAATATATGGTATATTTGTCTGCAACCTATAAAAATACGAATTGCTATTAAGTACATAAGTAGATAATAAGTGAAATTTACTTTTGTCTTTCAGATTGAGTATTAGAAATGAATATCTGAAAGAAATAATCGATAGCACTAGATCTCAACATCATATCAAGCAGATCCTTAAACCGTTTGCAAAAAGTGAAGATCTTTTAGGTGAGATAGTATTAAAGTATAATGATTTAAATTCTTTTGTTGAGCGTTATATAAATGAAAAGGCGTAGTTTTATTTTAATAAATTTTTGTTTACTTATTGCTGTTTTCCTTTGAAGAAATAAATACCTAAAAACTATTTTTCATTTCTCTAAGATCTGTACACACATAAATTCATAAATTGTGTATTCTTTAATTGCTTTTCTAAATAACGTAAATATTACAGAATTTCTTTGCTTGTAGAGATGGACTTAATTAATTTGTTCGTTTGAAATAAATTTAAACTGTAATCTGTTAAAATACAAAATATTGTAAAAATTAAAGTCAAATAAGAGAGTAGCTTTTATAAAATTTAATATTCTTTGAAGTTTTTA